AAATATAACTGCTCATTTTAAATCAATACTTTTACTTTTAATATTGAAGTACAAAAAATATCAGATACTTGAAGACTTTTCCTTAAGTAATATTCCTAAAGAAGACTAACTTTAATCAAAGTAATTTTTTGGTAAGATACTTGTACTTTTACTCAAGTATCACTTTGTGGTACTTTATAGAACACTGTTGTTTTGCAGTTATAAAAAAAATGAGAAGTGTTTTAAATTAAAAACATATATGTAAGAATACATTTGTGTGTGAAAGAAAAATTTTAGACACGTTTAAATGACACAAAATATTWTTGTGTAAATGTAATCTGCTGATTTTCACTCAAAAAGACTTTCTTGGATTTTTCCCATTTGTCACTTTTTGTCCTCCTTCACCGAGGCAGGGCACTTAGAAATGCTCTCCATCCATCGTCCGTTACAATTTCAGAAGCTGTAACTTTCACATAGAAAGACTAAAATACACCAGACTTGGTTTGAATCATCCATGTTGTGTGCCCGACCAAACCATGAGGTCATCATGAAAGCCCCCAACCCCTGACAGGAAGTGACATTCTTTGGGCTTGGAAAGCTCCATCTCTGACCCTCTTGACCTAATCAGCAGCAAATTGTTTCAGAACACAGATAAGAACTTCCTCTCACCTGCTTTCAAGCACAAAGAGTTTTTAGTGAAAGTCATGGCGGTCCGGTGAAGTCAGACATCACACYATTGACACACGYTTGGCTCTAAATTCAACATATTTCAGCCAATCTAGACCGAATTCATTGTGGTCGATCCTAATCCACCCAAGGGAATGCAGTAAAATTTTGGGGGGATGYGACCTAATTAGACATGTTGACATACGTTTGGCTCTAAATTCCACACATTTCAGCCAATCAGCATGCCATTCACTATGGTTGATCCTAATCCACGCCACCACAAGAATGCAGTCCAATTTSTGGAGGGCGTGGCCTAATTAGACATCACATACATCAATCYGAACCAAATTTTGTGTGCATCACAAGGGAGACCTGCTCAACATGTTTGTGTGGTAGTTTGACAAAATCACTTTAGCCCTCCGTCTGTCAGTCAGTCCATCTGTTCACCTTATGAGATTATTTAAACAATGAGGGCCTTTGATCAGTCCAACAAAACTACTAACAGTTGGTCACAACTGAACGGCGACAGGGGACGGTTGGCGCTGAGTTTTGTCTTGTTAATCGTTGTATTTGTGTGTGAGTGTGTGGTTCTTGTATCAGCACTTCGCTGCCCAACATTATGACAGCAACACACACGGCCATAACTAGAAAACTTGTAATTGGCTCCCTTGATGATGACTGTTCRTGAATATTAACTGTCTGTGAAGCTCATGCTCTTTGCAGAAACCTCCCTGATGACGACACTTTGGTGTGAAGGATAACAATAATTTRACAATTCCAGCACTGAGGAGATCTGCGTGGATTATGTTGTTRGTAGAAAATGCTGGCAGTACCTGTGGGCAGTGAGGTCAGAACGTCTGGGCAGTGAGGTCCTGACAAGAGCACACAGAGGACTACTTCAATTCTGATTAGCTTCCCTTTTTTGTGCCTTAGAGCACAGTTGTTAGTTTAAAAAAGGCTATTCATTATTTATTTTCTCTGTTTACTTAGATCAGTTTTACTGCCGTATATTTTTCTCCTTTTGACTGCACGTCTTCTCATCCGTGGCCAAGTGGAAATTATGCCCGTACACATTTCAACTGTTTCCAGATGACTGAGGTTGAAGAGGATTACATTATGAGCACAGATGAAATGATCTCTGCACATTTCTGCCTTTGTGCGCTCAGACGGTTCAAGTTGTGCGTACAGAGTTACATATATAAGTGTCTCCTTGGCTGTGTTTGAGTGTCTTAGAATATACTGTAGCTCAATAAAACTGTGCAGAAATGGCAGAAAAGATTTKAAAAAAWWRRAAARGKKRAMSKTTKSMRGRAWTRRKTTTTTTTCATTGWAACGCAGGTTAATTCAACAAGCGGACACTGTATATAAGTGTTGTATAAAGTACCTAAAAGTGATACTTTAGTAAAAGTTTAAACATCTTACCACAACATCACTTTGATAAAAGTTAGTCTGCTCTAAAAAAATGCTTGAGTAAAAGTCTTAAATCTGAAATTTACTGTGTTTAAATCTCAAAAGCAAAATTCTGACATAAAATGTACTTAAGAATTAAAAGTAAAAGTGAACTGTTAGAATTTCCAAAATGACAGCTATTGGGATGTGACTCCAAAATAATGCTCTTTCTAAAGGCCACAATGACTATAACGTTATCTTAAAATGTTATTTATGTATGAGTGTCAGAATAAACTTATTGTACATCAATACAATTATACAAATGTGACCCATCACATCGAAACGAGGATTAAGTCCAAAAGTTGTACTGTATAAGGAGAAAAAGGCAAATATAGTGTTTTGACTAAAATGTTAACAAAAATTGCAT